AAAAAAAAAAAAAAAAAAAAAAAAAAAAAAAGAATAGAAAAAACCTACCAAATAATTGTATGAAACATAATTTTTACCATTTCTACAACTGCGCTGATTTCCCTCTTAACTGTCGCTTATATAAGTTTTATTCTATTTCATTTATTGTTCTGTCTTATCTGTTGCACAGTTCCATTCTGTCATTTCTTCTCAGTAAAAAAAATAAGGTAGCTTTCCAAATTTTTTTCCATTCAACACTATTCTTCTGAAACTACTTTTTTTTTGTCCAAGTTTCACAGTCCCACAATTAGTTGTTAGTTTTAAAACATGCCTTGTATCTCGCCACTGCTGTCCAACACTTTGGAATTGGCGCTACTGGCATTATGATATACTTTTGAAAATTATTAATGAGCAAGAACGTTATTACGCCTATTTTCCCCTTAGATTTGTTTTATTTTTTTCTTGGCGAAAAAATAAAAAAAATTTCGGATATTTAAAAATTTTTTGAATGAATTACAGTCCATGCCCAATAAAAAATTGAAACATTTTAACAGGTTGTTTCCTAGACAATTAGTCCTTTTCGAAAATCCACTATGTACTTGTCACTTAGACTGACCCTGCTTTCTTAAGAAATTCATGTGAACGATATGACGCCATCCCCATAGGCTGCTTTGTTCTTCCCAGCAAGTTCAGAAGACTCGCCACTGCTGTCCAACACTTTAGGGTTGGCACTACTGGCATTAAATTTAAAAAAAAAAACTTTAGCAAAATTGTCTCTGAAAAATTATTTATGGCAGCAACAAGCTCGTTACACATCTGCACAAAATCCTAAACCCATGATTTATTTCAATCGGTACTTGATTTTCAAAAAGAAACATCGCTCAACCACTCAACAAACCGATAGTTCCTACAAGCCTGTTTTATAATTTTCAAGAGCACTTTTTTTCCTTCATACACATACAATCTTGCTCTCAAATTATACCTTCCGTGAACAAATGTAAACAGAAATATTGCAAACTATTTAATCGCCCAACAATAAACGATGAACCTATACAACATAAAAGCGCATTTTTAAGTGCGATAACTGGTGTAAATAGCACTGTCCCTGAAAGGGGAAGCAGCGTCCTAAACTCAGTTTGCTGGCTGTTACCTATAATCAGTATAGTAATAAATATTGTTCACAGTTATTCTCCACAAAAACAAGTTGAAGACTCAAACGTAGATTTAATTAGCAGAAAATTAAGTCATGAATAATAAATTATAGAAACAGAAAACTTTGAACAAAGATGACCATCAAAGCACATAAATTTGAGAACTTTGAACTGAAATCCTCTCCCAAACCATCAATAATTAAGTGAGCATAGTTTCTCGCTTAGACATTTCGTGATTAAATTTTACTATAAAATTGAGTTGTCACACTAAGAATGACTCAAACCGGCTACCTTTAGAACCCTAAAACCTACCTGTAAAAACCCAACGGACAAGAGCAGCAACTCAGAAAAGCTTAGCTAAAATGAACGATTCGTCTAAACCCGAGACTCTAAATTCAATGCAGTAATTGTTTATAGAAATTTGTATAGACATAATTCGTAAATTGTGTTTTAGTATCTTAATCAAAAGGAATACCAGCTGCTGACCCTTTGAACTGAAACAAGCACACTTCCTATACAGACAACTGAATAAAAACTTATTTCACTGACAATACTTCCAAGTAATGCCTTGAGAAATATCAGTAACAATATTTTCAATAAAAATTAATATATCATGCTTTGACATTCTACCCGAAACAACGCAGATAAAGCGTACTTTTAACTTACCTAAATTACTAATCTTAAGCATCATAGGAACTTAATTATAAATAAAAATTTTTTTTATAACAACATGATCGGCACACGTTGCAATTCAAAGCCCTGAATAAATCAAACATTATGTCTACATTGTTCAAAGGAAGTCTCTGTGTTGCTCATCGTTAAAACTTTAAAAATAAATTGCTATATAAGGGTTTCATTTAAAGAAACTTTCCTTTTTAATCTTCAAATATTCACCAAACTTACTTCGAACAAATAACTGCTGATGTAACTCAAACTAAAAATTGAAAAGTGACTTTCCTTCTCAAATTCTAATCAAACAACATGCTCAGCCTCGATGAGTCAAACCTTTACAGGTTTTTTGATTCATTAACATGATCAAAAAAAAATCCATCGCTTGCCATGCCACTAGTTCCTAACGAAGTAAAAGATGAGGTAAGCTCAAAACTGGCAGGAATTGATAAGAGAACAGAGTCCAACACCTAATTACTTAAAAGTATAGCCCGTAGCCGCGAAAAATTCATATAAAAAACTACTAATTCTACTCCTGGGCAGCGAAACCAGATTCCCGTAAC